GTTAGTCATTGAACATGCAAGAATCATATACTCATCAGTCCATAGCAGAGACATGTTATTGTAAGTTAAAGGTGAGCTTGTCCCTGTGGATATAACCCCTTCTCAATGATTCTAAATGTATATTAATTCACCATTTACCTTTTGATAAAATATTAGTTTATCAGAAATATTTAGTCTCTTCCATAAAACATAGGTTTGAGAAATAAATTACCCAATATAAAATCAATTACTCAATATAATTGACTCTTCCCTCCCTTTTCTTACATATGAAATAATAACTTAGGAGTCTATTTAAACATGGTATAGTTTATAATCTATTAATCGAGAAGACTCAGTATCACCTGTGTGCAGCTTACAAAAAACCATTGTGAGAAACATATTATGCAGGAAATTGATACATTTGTTGAAAAACAAAGCATATCTGATTTGGGAGGAAAAGTTTCATCCCTTTAACATCTGAGTTATTACTGATGGCATAGCATGAATGATACTGGGTGTATGAGGGTGTCATTACTGAGAAATGTCAAACAAAATCAAAACCTTACATTTGAAAACAGGTTTGCATTCCTCCACTTAAGGTGACGTTATCATTGGAAACAATAAAAGCTAATTGTTTTGATGTAGAATCTATACATTGAATCGTTAGAGCAGAACATAATGGTTGTATTGTAGCCTGAGTTTTGGGCAGCCTTTAGTTTTACCAGGTGGACACATTGTCTATATAATGTGAATACATGTAGAACTAGACATTAAGAGACCCCTGACATTAGGCCTATTTGAAACAATAGTAGGGGCTTTTACCAGCTCGCCAACTTACAGGCATCCTCTGCATAGCAGTATGAATAGCCTTAAAAACAACCCACTCTGCGGTAACGAGAGTCATGTATCTGAACCAAATGCCCTAAGTGAAGCCGTTAGTCTCATCTGACTGACCCAAGGGTTGGTGCTGGTGTGACAGGGAGGCTTCCAAGTGTTTATAGCAGATGTCATGCTTTCAGTTCATGGCTCAGTGGGGGGGAGCAGACCCATGTGAGACAGTATCAACGGCTGTAATGTTCAGTTTGAGGAGTGTCATTCTCTCTGGGAGCAGGAAATGGTGTCCATTCAGACCAGACCATTAATGTCATGTAGAGCAGCCATAGCATCTCTGTGACTGCACTCAGCCGGACTGCAGCAGGGCAGAACTGGGTGACTTTTAGTGAAGCCGTCCAAGGCCATAGACAAAATGGAACCACGTACTAACAAAAGGGACACAAGGTCATCAATGTCTCTCTTTACCTTTGGCCTAATTGTAAAACAAATTAGTGGAAGAAATGTGGAATCCTAATCCATCATCATGTGAAATTTAGAGTTAATTTAAATAATTACTTATGGGTTGAAGTCAAATTAACATTAACATTAGAACTAAAGTCAGTCAAAATTGGACGTGCACGGATCAGAATCTAATCAATACACCATTTTCCCAGCTCTGTAATGAAAAGGATATCAAGATTAGGTACATTACGGGAGTGATAAAACATCCAAACATGCACACTTATCTTATTCTAGTAGAGATTAGAGGACAGGTCTAATGTTGTGAACAAAATGATCAAGTCAAGTTATTTCATTTATTTTATCTTATGTACCACATTTAATTTAATAATTAATCTTAAATTACTAATAACTTTAAAGAAGGCAACAATTTACAATGTGGATAAGGTGACTACTTATCCAAAGTGTGTGTGTGTGTGGGTGTGTGTGTGTGGGTGTGTGAACAGCTTGTCTGCCCAAGGTTAAAACATTTGGGACAGCAGTGAGAATGTTATGAGAAACAATTTGTTGCTTAGACTGAACTCGAAAGAAGCTAGACTGGAACATTTTAAATAAATCAAAACACTTGCACCTTAATTAAATACATTTGACATTTAGCTTAAGCTGGGTTCAATACTTTCTTTATGGTATTTAAATTGGGCTCAAGTAGAACCTTTACATGGATTTGGCTTGCAACACAAAGTGATACCGATCTCTGTCTGTTATGATTTGAAAGTCTCATGATTTAAAGAGTAGGGCTGTGAAGGAGAGGCCCTTGGAAAACAACATCTATTTTTTTTAACTGTAATTACTTATTGTAAAGATATTGCAACCTTATACTTTCTAAAAAATTGCATTTAACACATTTATTATGCACACAATAAAAACTTCAACAAATATATTGATCCTGGCTTAACCAGCGACCTTTACTCTTTTGTTCATAAGCTCGGTTTCAGAAAACTTGTCAGTAGTTTAACAACTATTAGAATTTTAGTAATGTCTATGGAGACCAATTGGTTGATACGAGAAATCATTTGAAGCAGTTTAATAAAGAATGTTAAACTATATTTAAAACTGTAATTAAACTTCAACTTATATTAATTATCTGAATCCAGTGGCCAGTTGGAATAGATAATCAACAAAGTTTCCATTTTGCAGCAACAGCGCAAAAGGTTTCAACAATAATTTGTATTATGTCTGAGTCAAGTTCTGTCTTATCAGCTTTGTTTCGGAATGTGTTCAATACATTACGTTTTCATTATTACCATACAATACATAGATTTAAGAATAAATGAAACAAATAATACAATATTGACCTAAAACAGCAGACAGATTTTGCCACCCTGACCTCCTCAGGCAGGGTTTTTTTACGACCAGCAGTGATGCCTCTTAGGGTCTTAGGGTGCAGGACGGGGCATAGGGTTTATAAAAGGTCACAAACATATCTTAACATACCAGCAATACAATTTAAGAATGTATTCTTAAAGTAATATAATCTTCTCTTCTTCTTACACCTACAGCGCACACCCTGAACAGTGTGCTCCTTGTTTACATTTCCTCTGCACACTCAGATGCAGGACATAAAACACTCTTTTGCTATTTATTTTCATTTTGCAGCACATCTATACTACCAGAATTTTGCAAAACACTATATATTATTTATCTTTCTCAAGTCATTTACTTTTGGTGAGTTAACTAAAGCTTAGTTTATTTTACCCTGGCTATGGACTGATTCATTATTAGTTGTTACAAAACATGCACAAGACGGCGGTTAGACAAACCAATATAGACCCCTGATACAAACAATCAGACAAACAAACATGATGAACTCGTAATAAACAACAATGCGACAGCAAAGTTCATCCAGCTCAATTTAGTCCGGATTAAAGAGGTTTCAGAGGGGGTAGGGACTATTTGATCTCTCCCAATGGGAATCCAGTGGGGTACCTTGACTCGTACCTCCACCCTTGTATACAAGTCCTTAGATCGGTGCCTGAAGACCGTCCAAGAGCAATAACTAGCTTATCCTCTTGCGACTCCACTATCCCTACTCTAGTGGTGCTATGCCCCCCCGATCTGGAGCACGTAGACTTTTTTCCTCTACCCTTTCTATCCGAAACCACACAGTTAACTGTAGTCCTACTCGACCAGCCTACACACCTCCCATCATGCTCATCCCAACGATGAAACACAGTTTTGCTCTACACTTGCATACCACTGCCCACCCATGATCAATTAGCCTATAATTTTATGTATGCACCCCGGACCGACATCAGCTCCTCAGCAATGTAGGGTGCCTGTCGCATCAGGTAATGCACGCACCTCGCACCTGCCAGCACACCTCTGAATGTAAATGGCCACAAGCCACGAGAGTGCTTTTAAACAGTCTCGTTTTTAATAGAGACGGCGGTGGTGTGAGTTAAAGCTATAGACAAAAGCTGTGATTTTCTCCCTCTTAGTTCACTTCACCAGCCCATGCAGATACGGGGAGGTATTTTGCATCCCTGCGACTGCCTGTGCGGAACACATGCCCCGAGCAGCAAAACGGCTGCCTGTGCGGCACACATGCCCCGAGCAGCACACACAGAGGACACACACACCCGGAGCCGCAGCTGGAGCCGTGTTTTTTTTAGAGGCGCTGGGGGTAATATCTATGGCTGCTTTAGTTAACTGCTAGTGTTGGCCGCTGAAACCCCCGGAATCTCGGCGATTTGTTCATTACAAATCTCTATTTTGATTTCACACAGAAGTTCCACTTTACTGCTGCCCTCATTAAGGTTTTTTTTAAACATCTCCGCGTATGCCTGCACGGCACATACGTCCGAGCATCACACACAGAGGGAACCAGCCAGGACAGAGTCCCTGGATGATCCCCTGGGGTTAATAGCCCCAAATGTTCATTAACCAAAACGAAACGCAGCTGCTTAGCTTCACAGATAATTTTAGGATACCGTCAATCACAGATTCTGGTAAGGCAATGTCCAAATGTAGATTTGAAATCACACTTACCAGTCTCTGAAGATATGTTGGTATCCTGCCGACAACGCCAATTTGTGGAGGAAACTTCTGTGTAGTAATGCATGGAGTCACCGACTCAGGAAGGAGACACGGTGAGAGTTGGAGCTTTGATGTCAAACACTGATGGGTTTATTCAGAGTATTCGGCCGGAGGATTCACATCACAAATCAAAGAGTCAGAGGTTCTGACCACACGGTAGAGTTGCCACGTCAATTCTGAAGAACCTCTCTCTATGCTAGACCTTTTAACAGGTTCACAGAGAGAAATCAACATCTCTGAAGGAGTAGACTAAACACTGAATCACCTGCGTCCGACGCTCATGCCCTAAAGGATTTCACATCCTAGAGCCCACAAACACCGATAAAGAAGTGCCTCAGTGTTCCCACAACAATTACCCTTCGTGCCAGTCAAGTTGACCGGTCACACACTGGTGACAACAACACATATGGCACCAAGGCCTTTCCTTAAAGGAGATAACAGATGTCAGAGTAAAAGGTTAGATATCTAGAAGAATTATTCCTTAACAGTTCCTGACCTCCTCAAACTTTGTTTGAAAGAATAATGAAGAGGCCACTTTAACCTGCTCCTTGTTGGATGTGATTAGGTGGACTGTGGTGGGAAGTGAACCTAACTTTTTTAGGGTAGTCTTGTAAATTGCATTCAGTAATGTAGAGATAATCTTTGTATCAAAGAGGCACTGCTGGGAATAGAACGCAGGATCTCCTGTTTACGAGACAGGCGCTTCACCACTAAGCCACAGCACCTTTTTGTACGATTACTACCTCCTTACTTTGTAACTTCCTTTGTTTCTCTTTATCTCTACAAATGTTCTTTCAGGCTGTTAAACATTTTATTCATAAAGTGCCAAAATAACAATATGTTGAGCTGTAATGTTGCATCCTGTCACGGTCAGGTATTAGATTGGTAATGCCCTAATATAGTTTTATGCACAAACTAAACCAAACCCTTATTTCAGAGGTGGATAAAACACTTAATCCAAGAGATATTGTCTGTAACAAAGAGGCACTGCTGGGATTTGGACCCAGGATCTCCTGTTTACAAGACAGGCACTTTGACCGCTAAGCTACAGCGCCTCTCAATAGCATTCTTTTCATTCTCTCTCCTGAATTTATGTATTATAACCAAAGTAAACCAAAGCCATATGACCATATTTACCGTGTGTCCAATGCATATGGCTTCTGTCACATTCATCAATATTTGGCCTGTGAGATTTAATGAATGACTCAATGAGCACCGAAAAACTCTTTACATCTGCTTCACTCCAAGTAGTTTAACTCAGATAATATCCTTTGAATGCATGTTAAAACTTCTCTGTTCCAGGTGAGGCTTGAACTCACAACCTCGGCATCACTCTGCAGGTTACTCTCTTATAAGTACCGCACACTGACCGATTGCGCCACTGGAGCACAAAATGTTGACAATATCAAAAACAATAGCCATTACTCTTGAATTTTCTAAATGTATATGTTATTATAACCAAACACTCTCCTATGCTCTAGAGCAGGAATGGGCAAATGGCGGTCCGGGGGGCGCATTTGGCCCCCACCTCCTCTTTTTGCGGCACTCAGATCAATTTAGAAACAACGTAATTAATCAAAAAAGTAAAACACATTTGTTTTACTTGTAGTACTGATACCGTCCACTAGACTACTAGTTATGTCGCGAGCTGTGTACACGATGTCATCTTAATGTTTCATCTTAATGCACACGCATGTTCCATGCTTCCAATAGTTTAAAATAGGTTTATTCCACTGTTAAATAACCTGTTCAATACAAACATGCCACTTGTACAAATTAAATAACATTTCTGTGAACTGATATTTGTTTAGTGAGCTTATTAGAGGATGTTCCCTGAAAGATTGAAAAATGTCAATGAAGATGTCAGACTTAGCATATTTGTTAATAATTACATACAATACATGGAATTTGTGTGTGTGTTCCAAGTGAATCTGCGGCCCCCTGGTGGCCAGTACATAAATGATGTGGCCCTCCCACCATCCAAGTTGCCCATCCCTGCTCCAGAGTCTTTCTTTTAGGCTTTCATTTGTCAGTAGAAAGTGAAAACGATTGCTTTTAGGAACACCCAACCTCTATAAATTATGATTTTCTCAATTACTGTTCCTTATATAGATATTTACCAGTGGGCATCAGATAAATCTAGTTTAAAAAATCTAACTTATGAACACAAACTAACCCATACAGTACCATTTCTTCAGATGTGGATAACAGTCAACTTTAAACTATAACCTAAGTGGTTTTCAAGTACAAACCTTGCCAAACATTTACTATTGAATGTAATTGAATGTGGTAATGATGAGAGCTTTATCTAAATAGTTGCTCTCTGTATCAAAGAGGCACTGCTGGGAGTTGAATCCAGGATCTCCTGTTTACTAGAAAGGCGCTTTACCGTTAAGCCACAGCACCGCAACTAAAGTATTTGTTTTTCTCAGATACTGTGCTCAGTAGTTTCCTTTCATTCTTCACAGGCGCTTTACAACTTAGCCAAAGCACCCGTTTCTCCATCCACTACCTCCTTACTGTTTAACTTCCAGTGTGTCATTTTATTTCAACAAATGTTTATTCATGCTGTAAAAATGTGCATTCATAAAGTCCCAAACCGAAAACATGTTTAGTTGTCATGTTGCATCCTGTTTGTCCGTTTGTCAAAGTCAGGTATTAGATTGGTAATGCCCTAATATAGTTTACGCCCAAACTAAACCAAACCCTTATTTCAGAGGTGGATAACACACCTAATTCAAGAGATATTTTCTACAACAAATAGGCACTGCTGAGATTTCGACCCAGGATATCCTGTTTACAAGACAGGCGCTTTGACCGCTAAGCTACAGCACCTCCTTCACCACAATTTCTGTTGCAAAAAGACAGTGAGATAGCAGATTGAAAAACTACTAGATCAAAAATACTCAGCTTTGCAACAGTTTTTTTGCTAAAAGGATATTGATTTGACTCTTTTTTAAACCCTATCGATCCTCACAATGAGTTTGGGTGAGTAACTCTGAATATAAACGTAACTTTGTTTGAAAGAATAATGAAGAGGCCACTTTTACCTGCTCCTTGTTGGATGTGATTAGGTGGACTGGTGGGATGTGAAACTAACTTTTTTTGAAAGTAAAGTGCATTCAGTAATGTAGAGATAATCTTGGTATCAAAGAGGCACTGCTGGGAATTGAACCCAGGATCTCCTGTTTAGAAGACAGGTGCTTTACCACTAAGCTACAGCACCTTTTTGTACAATTACTACCTCCTTACTTTGTAACTTCCATTGTTTCTCTGTATCTCTACAAATGTTCTTTCAGGCTGTTAAATATTGTATTGATAAAGTCCCAAAATAACAATATGTTGAGCTGTAATGTTGCATCCTGTCACGGTCAAGTAATAGATGGGGAATATGGCCCTAATATAGTTTACGCCCAAAGTAAACCAAACCCTTATTTCAGAGGTGGATAACACACCTAATTCAAGAGATATTGTCTGTAAGAAAGAGGCACTGCTGGGATTTGGAGCCAGGATCTCCTGTTTACAAGACAGGCGCTTTGACCGCTAAGCTACAGCACCTCTCAATAGTTTTATTTTCCTTCTCTCTCCTGAATTTATTTATTATAACCAAAGTAAACCAAAGCCATACGACCATATTTACCGTGTGTCCAATGCATATGGCTTCTGTCACATTCATCAATATTTGGCCTGTGAGATTTAATGAATGACTCAATGAGCACCGAAAAACTCTTTCCGTCTGCTTCACTCCGATAATATCCTTTGAATGCAGGTTAAAACTTCTCTACTCCAGGTGAGGCTTGAACTCACAACCTCGGCATCACTCTGCAGGTTACTGTCTTATAAGTACCGCGCGCTGACCGATTGCGCCACTGGAGCACAAAATGACAATAATATCAAAAACAATAGCCATTACTCTTGAATTTTCGAAATGTATCTGTTATTATAACCAAACACTCTCCTATGCTCTAGAGCAGGGATGGACAAAAGGCGGTCCAGGGGCCGCCTGAGGCCCCCACCTCCTCTGTTTGCGGCCCTCATATCAATTTAGAAACAACGTAATTAATTTAAAAAGTAAAACATATTTGTTTTACTTGTAGTACTGATACCGTCCACTAGACTCCTAGTTACGTCGCGAGCTGCGTACACGATGTCATCTTAATGTTTAATCTTAATGCACACGCATTTTCCGTGCTTTCCAATAGTTTAAAATAGGTTTATTCCACTGTTAAATAATCTGTTCAATACAAACATGCCACTTGTAAAAATTAAATAACATTTCTGTGAACTGATATTTGTTTTAGTGAGCTTATTAGAGGATGTTCCCTGAAAGATTGAAAAATGTCAATGAAGATGTCAGACTTAGCATATTTGTTAATAATTACACACAATACATGGAATTTGTGTGTGTGTGTGTTCCAAGTAAATCTGCGGCCCCCTGGTGGCCAGTACATAAATTATGTGGCCCCCACCACCATCCAAGTTGCCCATCCCTGCTCTCGAGTCTTTCTTTTAGGCTTTCATTTGTCAGTAGAAAGTGAAAACGGTTGCTTTTAGGAACACCCAACCTCTATAAATTATGATTTTCTCAATTACTGTTCCTTATATAGATATTTACCAGTGGGCATCAGATAACTCTAGTTTAAAAAATCTAACTTATAAACACAAACTAACCCAAACCATTTCTTCAGAGGTGGATAACAGTAAACTTTAAACTATAACCTAAGTCGTTTTCAAGTACAAACCTTACCAAACATTTACTATTGAATGTAATTGAACATGGTAACGATGAGAGCTTTATCTAAATAGATGCTCTCTGTAACAAAGAGGCGCTGCTGGGAGTTGAACCCAGGATCTCCTGTTTACTAGACAGGCGCTTTACCGTTAAGCCACAGCACCACTCCTACTGTTTTTGTTTTTCCCAGATACTGTGCTCAGTAGTTTCCTTTCATTCTTCACAGGCGCTTTACAACTTAGCCACAGCGCCCGTTTCTCCATCCACTACCTCCTTACTTTTAACTTCCAGTGTGTCATTGTATTTCTACAAATGTTTATTCACGATGTAAAAAAGTGCATTCATAAATTCCCAAACATGTTTAGTTGTCATGTTGCATCCTGTTTGTCCGTTTGTCACAGTCAGGTATTAGATTGGTAATGCCCTAATATAGTTTACGCCCAAACTAAACCAAACCCTTATTTCAGAGGTGGATAACACACCTAATTCAAGAGATATTTTCTGCAACAAAGAGGCACTGCTGGGATTTGGACCCAGGATCTCCTGTTTACAAGACAGGCGCTTTGACCGCTAAGCTACAGCGCCTCTCAATAGTTTTCTTTTCATTCTCTCTCCTGAATTTATTTATTATAACCAAAGTAAACCAAAGCCATATGACCATATTTCCCGTGTCCAATGCATATGGCTTCTGTCACATTCATCAATATTTGGCCAAGCAGGTCAGCACCGTAGTCAAATCCTGCTTTTTTTAAATAAGACTATTGGCCAAAACCAAGTCGTATTTATCTTTTAATGACTTAGAAAGGGTTATTAATGCCTTTGTTACCTCAAGACTGGACTATTGCAACGCTCTGTATGTGGGTATGGACCAGGCCTCAATTAAACGCCTGCAGCTAGTCCAAAACGCAGCTGCACGTTTGCTGACTGACCAATTGATTTTTAAATCCTTTTATTTGTTTTTAAAGCACTAAATGGGCTGGCTCCGGCCTATAG